GCAGTTGACCGAGACACGAGTTACGGTATTCCACGCCGGCCCGGTCTTTCGATAGATCCGGTTAAAAATATATACAGGGCGGGGCTCGCCGGAGATACTCGACCACGCTCGATGATTTTTCCTCTTTCTCGCCGCGTGGTACTCTCGCTACTCTCGTACCATGTGCACACGGGTACACGGTATCATCCTCGTCTTGCTGCGAAATCGCACCGTATCTCCTTCGTGCTCCCGTGACGTCCCGCCGGTGCACTATGTGCTTCGTCGTTGCGCTGAGAACCGCCGGCAGGCTCGTGCGCTGAGAACTGGGGGCCCGTGCTACCAACACGAAATGTTTCCTTCAACCGAGGAATTGGAAAAAAAAAAGAAAAGAAAAGAAAAAACGTTAAATGCGTATTAACGTCCGAGGCGTGCGGTGAAATCACGAGAAGTTTGGAATTTTATGCAGTTACGTAATTAACAAGATCGATCGATAACAATCTTGATGTTTTCATTTCTATGTTATGTGCGTTTTGATGTTGCGAAATTGTTACGAACCAGGGTATATACACGTGATTATCGTGGGAAATTAATTGAATTACTGTTGCAAAATATAAGTTTTTCGTGTAGAATGATATTCTATCGTGGCGAAATACGCTTCTACTTTCGTTGCGACACGGAATACTTTCTTTCGTAGAAAATTGTCGGTTACGTAAAAACGGATCGACTGGTCAAGTGGACGCGGGAGATGTTTGCAGAAAAACCATCGTTTTTTCTTCCAATGGAACACCGTAAGTCTGTTCTCAAGGTACGCACCTGTGTGTTGCCTGCGATCTGTGATTCTTTACACTGTAGCTAGACGCGTGGTTTTTATGGCGTACCGTATTTGAGTATATCGACGCAGTGTTATTTTGAAAGTTGCTCGAGAACAAGATTTATTCAGTTTCTTTTATCTGTTTCTTAAATATGCCTTAAATTATGATTTAATCGATGTGCATATCAGTTTATTTCTTTCCAAAGGGATAATGTTTCTCTATGTTGCAATTATATATATGTTTTCAAATAGAAGCGTTCGCCAGATAAGAACGAGTACTTACCGTGTGTTCGAGATAAGAATAGTGAGTACATAAATTCTGTACATAGAATACGAAAAAGTGGAAGATAACAAGCACAAGTTTTCTTTGCAATTTATACGGTACGTTATATTACGCGGCGTATGATTTCGTTTTCGATACGATAAATTAAAGATTTGGAATAGTAAGTACTCACGTGTGTTGTGGAATTTCAATTATTGTTACAATCGTACTTTCGATCGTGAATTTTGTATTTCGACGGAGGATACCATCACTGAACTACCACTTGTTCACTATTAACTGCGTTGCACGAAGATTGATAATCAATAATGAACGTTACGCGAATGAGAGACACAATTTGAATTATAGTTTGTATATGGTATTGCGTATAATAGTAAAGATTGATATTTCGGGAAAAGAGATTTTTCACTGCCACGTCTCTATGTGACACGATACACTGTTCTGTTCAAACAGTCAACCATGACATGTAGATCGATAATTCGATCATGCGAAAAAATTCGATTCAATTATCGAATCCTATCAAACTATCCTTAGATCGATCGAAGGAAGCAAATAATCGAATACTCAAGAATATTAGATGCAAAATGATATTGAAATGATTTTTGTACGAATTTTACGTGGACACAACGTTGAAAAATATTATTTTTAATTTTGTAAATAATGCAATTGCAAGAAAAAGACGTTAATCGAATAAAGTTTTTCCATATTTTGGTAAAGGAGTGATATTTAATATCGATGTATCGATTTAGGGTCGACCTGAATCTCAAATTTAAATTCACGAACCTAACCTGACAAAATTGTAACGAGCAGCTTATTTTCTTATAAAAATATGAAATTATCATAACTTGCCGTGCACGGTGCCGTAGAAATTAGTATCGATTTATCTTTCAAGAATCAAATTTTTTTTAATATTCGAACATTATCATAATCTAGCAATATTTTATCGATTGTTCGTTAAGTTCTCACGTGTAATAAATTTCACAAGAAATCGTGAGATTGCAAATATCGGTAATTTATGTAATTCCATGGGAGAAAAGCATTCGTTTAATATTGTATGCGTTTTACGTCTTAGTAAATGAACAAAATATAGGACGAATTGCTAATGAAATTCGTGTGTCAATAGGTCGTTGAATTTCGCTGGTCAATGTCGTCATTGTAAACATGAACTACATAAATATGAAGCATTAAACGCGAATTGCTTTTTCATTAGATTTTAAAGAAGCTTGACAATGTGAACTACTTATAAACATATACTCCAGGACTCTGTAATCTCGTGTATCCACGCATATCAATAAATGTTTCGCTGATTTAGGTTGTTTTCTCAAAGAAAAAAAAAAAAAAGAAAAAAAATCTTTCAGTGTATTTTGTTCAGCAATTGTACAGGGGGTGTGTGTCGATCATCAAATAAAAGGACACCGATTTTCCCTGTGTTCATGGCTGAAGGCAACTCGCTCCTTTTAAATTCACTTTATTCTCGTGTAATTCTCCCCAATTATGTACAAAAATATAATGAGAATCAATAATCATTACAGAGTTCGTAACATTAGGTAGGTACATGACAATGTGTGTGCTCTTGCCTCTGTGTGAACTCGGCTTGTGACACCTTTCACGAGACTGAACAGATTTATGTCCTTTTTTTTGTTTTTATTTTCTTCAAAGTGAAAGACGATCGACCATCCTGACTTATGTGTTCATGCGCGTGTAATCTCTTTCCTTTCCTCTACAAAACTCGTTTATTTTGGTGTCGTGTGAACTCGGTGTTTTTTTTTTTCTTTCTTTCGTTTGACTTTTCGTGTACATTATGTGTACGCGTGCAGAAAAATAAAAAATTGGTTGATAATAAGTCCGGTTCGAATTGCATTTGCATAGAAACGTGAAATATTGCATAGAAATAAAGAGAAAAATTAAATACTTTCCTTGACCATTGCACTGGAGGCTAGCCTGAATATATTTGTACATCGTGATCTTATGGAAAATAATTCTGAAGTTTAATTTGCGCCCGTAGTTAGCTTCATTAATTATAGGATTAAGAGTTCAAAGTCGAAACCAGAACAAGACGTCAGAATAATTTTACAAAAGAGTACGTTGCACGTGTCAGCCTCGAACAGTATGAATTGCAAAAAAAAGAAAAACAAAAGACAAGCCTCTGTTCGTGAAAGTCTCACGGAGCCTTGAGGAATATTTTTTATCGAATAATTGTATCGCTAGATCTATAGTAATAGTCGTCGAAATTTCGTTAGAAAAGTGCATGGTTTAGCAGAAAGGTATTACTCGCACGCGTCCGTTTTTAGAAAAATACGAAACTTGTACATTGAGAAGCAGCCTTTTCCTTTTTCTGCGGTTTAATCGAAAAGGAACACGAATTAATATGCTTTGATCACCACGGTCGATCGTGTCGTATTTCTGAACCGTTAGTAATAAATGACACCTTTGTACACATGCATTGATGAAACATTACGAACTTCAGCTAAGAATGTTCTATCGTCGTGTCTCGACGACGACGCGACTTATTGTCCTCATTGACAGACACGACACGACAGAATTATTTTACTCTTGTTTCTTCTCTTCGTTTTCCAGAACGCTTTGGTTTCTCTTTTCTTTTTTTTTTTTTTATCTTTGCGAGACTTTAACAGGTGCGAAATTGCTTTGCTTTCTATGCTAAGGGTATATCTTTACAAATATGTCGATAATGAAATATCAAAAATGAAAAAAAGGACCGATCACACAATGCGTTCGTGTAACATATCGGTTCGCAGGTATTTGCAAAAGTTGAGAATTGTATATAATCACTGGGAACAGAATTTATACGTTTTGACGAACTTACACGTATTAAAAAAGTGAAAAAAGGACGAGCGATTTTTGACCGATTGTGTATGAATTATGACGCTACAATGTACTTGAATCGTAGCTGGGAATAATACATCTGTACGATTTTTCTTCTGTGAAACGGAAGAGGTCGGACGAAGGAGTCAAACATTTTGAGCGTAGAAGGTGTATATAAAATTATTTCGCTAAAATCGTAACTCGAAGATCAATTCCTCTGTACAACACTTTGGAACGAGCGTGACAAGGATCTAAGCGGAGCCCTTGTCGACCTGGCGACGAAAGAAATTGTGTATCGTAAAAACCTAATGCACCAGAAGTAACGAAATTTGTTTGTCGAGATCTCGGGAATAATATTTGCACGTTTTTTTTTTTGTTTTTGTTTACGACTACATTAACAGTCTTGTTGACGTTATTTTCTCTTACTTCATTTTATTATAAACCACTTTTCACTCCCTCTCAAATATTTCTCTAATACGTTATTAAAACTTGGCAATAATAAATTTTTCAATATATGAATACTTTCACAAGAAAGCACGTCTTTTGACACCATTAACGGCAACGTTCTCTTCTTCTTCTTTTTTTTCGTTTTTGTTTTTTTTTCTTTTTTTGTTTTTTTTTCTTTTTATTAATGCGATCGATCTATTTCCTTGTAAAAATATACAACATTAAATTTATAGGATCGAATTGATTTTTTTTCCTCAGATTTTTTTTATTTCTGTGCGGTCATAAATAAAAACCTTCATCTTTCCGTAATAGGAAGAGTACAAAAGTTTGTAACCTTAACAAGAGAATTTTTTTTTTTCTTTTATATAATTCCTAG